GTACCTCTTACCTGCATAATTGGATGTGTTAGATACACATTTACCAGGTATTCATCTTTTTCTTCTAGAAGACTCTTCTCAGGCATCAAACCAAACCCAGGCTCTGGAGAAAGGTGTAATTCTGCAGCTGGGAACTCTACTGACAGTTTATCATGAGCTAGTACAGACAGCACTCCCTGCAGGGAGCTGTGTGGACACGCTGCTGAGAAGCCTCAGCAAGACATACGCAATTCTCACCTCCCTCGTCAAACATGTGAGTGCTGCTCTGCTGACAGTGGGCTGGCTGGGATCTGAAAACTTTTTCCCCATCTGCTACAGCAAGCTCACAGTGACCCCTGGCAGCAGCTATGCTCAGGACTGGGCTGCTGATCTCTTGCAGGAGTTGAGTCCTTATTCTGTTGGCTTTCATGCCCTCAATTTCGTGACCTTTCTGCAGCAGTGATAGTTGTGCCAGCGGAGATAAAGGAAAGCTGCCCTCCAGCTGAATTTGGCTGCACGTGTCTTGGAGTCTCTCTTTCCAGTATATCTTGTAGGTTTCTCTGTATGCAGCTGTGTGCCACAATGAAGGACGCTAGTGATGTTCTCACAGTCCTCAGCAATCCTGCCCTTGCTACTCATTCCCATCTAAGGCTTGAACCATCAGACCTGAGGGAACTGGGCCATGAAAACAGGCCAGCGGAGCTAGTCTAAGACAAGATGGTGAATTCCCTTAGCTCTCTCACAGCTCTGGAATGCAGACATGGTGTTTGGGATATAGCAAGCCACCGGGGAGGATAGTTCTTGCAAATCCTGCCCTCCCCACTGTGCCGTTCGATGAGTTGCTTTGAGCCCTGCCTGGAAACAGCGTACCTAGAAAAAAATCTCTGTTTTCCTTGCAGTATATCCAAGCTTGCCGCGGCACCTCAAGTACAATTCCAGGAAGGCTAGAAAAGCTGGTGAGTGTGAGCGAATTGCAGGAGGAAATGGCTCATTGCCTTGAGTTGGGAGTAACACCAACCTCTCTGCTGCTTTGCAGGTGAAGCTCTCGGGTTCCCATTTGACCCCACAGTGTTACTCGTTCATTACCTATGTACAGGTAAGGCCTAAATTAACTGTGGCAAAGTCACTGTTAGTCTCTCTGATGCTGAGTGGTGTAGCAGCTGCAATACACGGGCATCTTTGGGGATTATTAATCTTTTTGACATGATTTGAGCTGCTTATATTATAAGCTTTACTATGTAAAATAATATTATAAGACATTTCAGCTTATAATTGGGACTGAGCATGTTGATTTCTGCTTGAGCAGGGAAGGAAGAGTGTTTGGGGAGCTTGTTTTTAGCTTTTATTTTCCCCTCTCTGTTCATGTCTTTTTTTTCTGGATGAGATTAATACTGCTGGTAACCACAATGGCAAATAAAGGTCAATAACACTGCAGTCATCACAGTGTAAAGTAACGTGGGTGCCAAAGACCGCAGTGCCAAAGATGGGATTTAGCTGTTTGGAGAGGAACTGAGTGCTTGAGTGAGGAATTGTGGATTGGACGTGTCATATTGGGGAAGTGTAGTGGTGCGCAGAGCTACCACTTCTGGGGATTTCACACAAATACATATTTATTAATGTATAAATTATGAAATTAGGGTTTTTTTCCTTCTTTTTTGGAGATTACCACCCATTCCATCCTTCTTGTATCACTACCTGTCTGTTGTCTAGCTGGTAATGCTGTTAGCTGGCCAGAACAGAGACTTCTCTGGCCTTATTTGGCTGGCCTTTCTTCTCTAATTACCCTCTAATGCTGCATCTTTTGGCATCCTCCTTCAGAACATCCACAGTGAGAGCTTAAGCTTTGCAGAAGAAAGGAAAAAGAAGAAGAAAGAGGATGAAGCTGCTGCAGTCTCCACAGTCATGGTGAGACTGATTCACTCTCTATTAGAACATAGGACATGGGGTGCATTTGAACTTGGGATCGTACCTCAAGGTTTGTGTTACCTTGTGGGCTTCATCAATAACAAATTGTCATTTGGGCCTTTAAGTAAAAACCTAATTTCTTCTACCTGGACTTTAGAGAAAAGTTTGAAAAACAAAATGCAAAAAGGCCCTTCACTAAGTGCAGCCTAAAAGCTCACAGACATGAAACAAAGGTAAAGGCTGGATAGTCTGTCTTGTCTGATACTTTATCATTTGGGTAAGCTATGAAATTTCAGAAACAGGCTAATTTATTGGAACCAACACTGCACTCTGTTTAAGTGTTTCTTAATTTTATCAGTACATTTAAAGGTAAAGTAGTGGATTCCACTAAAGTAAGCAGTTGAGAATGACTGGGTGATTTGGCTGGGAGCAAGTGAGCAGGCTGGCATGTTCTTGGTCTTTTATGTCCCTCGTGCTCCCAGCCAGCATTTCCTCTGTCTCATTGGTGCTCCCAGACATTCCTGTGACATTAAGGTTTTAAAAGCCATGAGCATGATCTTCCTAGCTGTTCCCTGAGTGTATGGAAACGGGCTGAAATGCTGCATGTCCTTTTACCACTCTGTCACCATGGGGAACAAACATCAGTGGTGGTAAATAAACAGGGCAAAAATGTGGTAAAACAGTGATGCGCCCACGGCCCAGGAGGTGTGTGTTTGTGATGCCTTGCAGAGCTGGAGCAGAGCAAGTTTTGCTGTGATGGCTGTCAGGCATATCAGGGCTGTGGACTGCAGAGTACAAAGCAATATACGGGGAGAGCCTCACTGCAGAACCATCACAGGAGTCAATTTAAAACCAGTAACAAACTGGCAATCCTTGCTGGGACAGGACTCGTATGGAGCGAGGCTACCGAAGACACTTAACTGGAGTCATGCTACAGCACTGGTGTCTTTTGGGGTAGTCTAAGCTGTTGATATAAATAGGGGTGCTACACGACTGCTGTAGCAGGCATGCCTGTTAACGATGACAGTACACGGGTGTCTTCAGGCTGTCCACTTCCAAATCTGACCTTTCACCCTCCTTTCTGCATTTCAGGCTAAGGTGCTTCGGGAGACCAAGCCAATCCCAAATCTGATTTTTGCAGTAGAGCAATATGAGAAGTTCCTTATCCATCTCTCCAAGAAATCAAAGGTAATGCAAAGCAGAGCGCTTCCGGGACCTGGATTCAGTGGAACAGTGGTACTGTGATGTGGTGGAGGGCTATTGCAGTCCCACCTTTTAAAATCTCCACTACTATTCCAGTTAAGAAGGTGTAAGGACGATACTGCTCTTTCAGCCTTCGCCCGAACTCCTGGCCCGCACTGGTACCAGCAGGTGTCAATGGCAGTACTGCCTGTGACCTAACACTGCGTGGGGTTTCTGGTTGAGCAGATACTCACACACCTAATGCCAGGTTTCCTCACCCCACTCCCCCCGGTCTGTTTCACAAGCTGGAGAGAAGCGTACCAGGATGAAATACTACACGAGAGTGAGAATAACTGGTAATCTCTGGGCTCTTATTAAAACATAAATGCACTGCTGGATTGCATGGACCTTTTGTGTCAATCCTGCATTATTACTGTGATGGACTCAGTCCCAGTCCCATGCAAAGGACGAGACGGTAGAAAACAAAACTAAGATGCTAATGGCATAATGTCCTCTCCCCCTGGTTTCACCTTGGTTGCTGCAGGTGAACTTGATGCAATATATGAAGCTAAGCACCTCCCGGGACTTCCGCATCAATGCATCCATGCTAGACAGCGCGCTGCAGGAGCATAACACAGAGGATGCTGAAAACGAGCCAGACAACGACCAGGTCAGAACTCAGTTACCTGCTGTTACCCCTCTCTTGAGGCCAGCTGTCTTTGTGACCTGTTCAGCTATATGTGAAATTAGGACAGTTTGACTTCCCTGGGTTGGCTCTCACTTCAGTACTAAGCTGATGCAGTAAACAGTTGGCCTGGCCGACGTCCCCTACACTCCAGCCCTCTGCCTTGAGTGACCTTTATGTCTGTGCACCAGTCAGCTGTATCTCTGGTCTTAGGGAAGTATAACTGCTCTTAAGGCCTCATTGTTTGTCTCAGCACGCAGAGAGTTCTACCAGTGTTACCTTTGAGGACCTACTGGCTGGGCAGGCTCAGACCTTTGCAGCATGATACAAAGTGGCTTTGCATCCTGGTTAAATTTTGTAGATAAACAGCTGGTAGGGCAAACTCTGCAAGGCATCATTCTCCTCAGACCCATCTTCTACTAGATAGTGCTGGTGAAGGTAGTGAAACCTGAGCTGGATAAAAAAAAAAATAAACAATTTACTTTACTGATTGTCCAGGTTTTTATTGGTGCTTCTGTCCATATTTTCCTGAGTGTTTCAACAAGCCAAAACCCAGCACAAACAGTCCCTGTCCTGTGCCATTCATAACCTGTGGTCTAAGTTCCGGCACAAATTGAGGGGATCTATTGGGAACATCTCAGTGGGTGAGAGGAGTCCCCTATTCAGGTCGTTTTATTAGAGAGGAAAAAGAGCTAAATCCTGTTCTGCACATCTGGTTTCTTGCTTTAGGTAAACATTCCTTAGCCTAATCACACAAAAACAATCACACTCTGTACTGCTACTCTCCTTCCCTCTCCAGAGCAACACCGCAGAGCAGACAGATGAGAACCAGGAACCCAAAAAGAAGAGACGGAGAAAAAAATAAAGCTGGGGTTGCTGCTGCTGCCTCCTCCCACAGTGCCTGTTCTGCAGCAGACTCGCCTTGGTCTTGGAGAACTGTGTGTATGGAGAAGATGGTTTGTTGTTTCTCTTGCCAAATACTTAGGACTTCTTCCTTTGTGTTCATGGGCGTGCAAACAGCGACTCGGGCCGCTGTCTCAGGTTTTCCAGCTGGCCACTGCCCTTAGAAGCACCTCTGCTATTTGAATGTGCTGCTATCAAAATCTTCTTCTCTGGGAACATCCTTTCTTACAGCAAAAAAGGAAGCAGAGTGACCAAGATCAGTCCCTGCCAAAAGATCTCCTTCTGAAAGGACAGCCAGGCTCTGGTGCGCTCTCTGGACAACTGTCATTCTGGCACTCTAGCGTCATCACTTCTTCTCCAGCGAACCTTTGGTTATTTCAATGAGCTGATATATATCCAGTGCTTCTCCTGGAAGACAATGGGACAATCAGTTCCCTTCATGCTGCAGTACACTTACAGACTGTAATATAAGAGAGTGACGGTCATAATTTGCTTTAATTTAGAGCATGTAGCACAAAAAGCTCTCAATTTATTCAACCTTCTGTTTTGTGTGGTGGTGTGAATGCAGGAACCAGTACAAGCAGGAAGCTGGAAACGCGAGTTCTGCCTCGGCGTTACAGCTTGCTGCTGCGTGCAGCTCCTGAGGGGCAGAGAGGTGACAGCTTCCTCGGGTGAGGCTGCTTTTGCTGTTACCTTTTTGCTGACCCTGACGCGATGCACTTGTTTAATTTGCCTTGTTCTTGGTGAGAACAGAAGTGCTCTTTTTGCCCACAGAACACAAATCCTGTTTCTAAAAGCACCTTTTGCCTGTAAGACTCCTAATAAAGGTTACCTAAGGGCGGAGTATCTGATGTGTTCAATGACTGAGAGAACAGATCTGAGGGCAGGTTCTTCTTATCTGAGAAAATGCTGCTGCACATCAATGCGATGTTTAAAGCAGCAGCCAGCCAAGAGTTAAAAGTGTTTGTCTGCAGCAGTTAGAGGATATATTGAGTGCAGATAGGGATGAGATAGGCCTTGGGATTGTTGGGGAGGAACACAGCAATGCCAAGGTAGTTCTCTGAACAGATGTGCTGGGCCAAGGGAGAAAGCACCAAAGGCTGGAAAAGTTTGGGTCTGGAGGGCAAAATCTACACAGCTGTTCCTTCCTATTTCAGAGAAGGAGCAATTCAATCTTGGGCTGTGCTGAAAGTGCACAGGAGGGCTCCTCTCTCTTTGAGGGGCACAAAGCAAATAAGTGCATGCTGTAACAGAGCCAAGCGCGGCTCATCACTACCAGAAATATGTGGAAGCAGCAGCACAAACTACGCGGGGATTGAGAAAGGAAAGAGGGGTAGAGGGGGGCTGGCACCAGGGTGACAGGCTGGGAAGCAAGGGGCTCACGAACGAAGGAGCCCTCAGGGAAGGGCGCCGTGGGCCAAGTGCTCTGCCTCGGCCAGCGAGGCTTGTGCTTAGGGGATTACACAGGGTTAACTCACACGGACACCACTCACCTTGAGGGATACCATATTTCTTCTCCATGCCCGTTGGATTTGATGGTGTGACGCAGGTCATGGTCACCTCTTTCCTTAAGCACTGGTCAACATCCACTGCACTGAAGAAAGCCACCGACTGCGGCAGATCCTGGAGGCCCAGTTTGTATGCAAACATGCACCTGGAAGAAGTAGTGACCAGGTCAGGCGGTGCTACACGTTACCCTTAGCCTTGTCACACCTGGCTCTGATCAGCCACAGCATCACAAAATCCCAGCCGGCCATCACTAACAGGTTACTTCGCATCCACGTCACTCAGCGGATGGAAGACGAGGTGCTTTTGAAGTACTGGGTAGCAGGAGGGTCAAGTATTGCTAAAGCGTACACGGGAGGAACAGAGTAACAGCACACTGAGCCTCCTCGAAGAAAGGAAGGACCTGGCCCTTCGCTGCTGGCTAATCCTCCCAGGCAGAGCAGATGCTGGATTTTCCCAGCAGGAAGCCCCATGCTCGCAGGAGCCGGCACAAAGGCGCGAACGTCAGGGTGCCTGCCCGCGCTGCGCCTGCGGCACCGGCACAGAAAGGCTGTTTGCTGTATGCAAGAAAAGCTTTGGCCGGCTCCTGTATACCCAAATACTCTGCAGTGCCGGGAAGGGGATTTGGCAAAGCTGGCTGTGCCGGAGCCGGATCGAAGGGAGCCCTTTGAGGTCAAGAGCTTTCCAGGTTGAACTTAACTTTGCACAGGGCAGGGAAGCAGTGGGAACAGCCCAACGCTGCAGAAGGGGCAACTGCGCCGGTGCTCACAGCACAGACAAGCTGTGCCCCTCGCTGCCCGCTGAAGGCAGGGGGACAATGAGGGATGGGGACAGTTTCAGGCTCCCAGCTGCTCAATCAAGCCCAAGGGCTGCTGCCACGCGATGGCCACAGACCTGAAGGGAACGGGACACAAGGCGCTTGCATCCTATGGAGCAGAATGGTTGGCCCCATCTCTGCAGAAGCCAAAAGCTGATGACATCCCCCCTCCTGCCAGCATGTTATCCCTGGAAATCAAAGCTCCATTTATAGCCACCCGATTCACACGTGAAGGAACTGCAGCCTCCAGCGCTGCCAACTTCCCTTGAGTAGAAGAAAGACTTCTCTACACCAGCTTGGTGTGGGCAAAGCTAACCCCTTTGCTGTCACCCCAGTCACTTGAGCTTGCCCTGTCCCACCGCAGAGGCACTGGTGCTTGTCACCAGGAGGCACTACAGCCACCACAGCCCACCTTGTGAGGAGGTTGGTGATCTGCAGGGCCAGGGCTGCGCGGTAGCGGTCTTGATGCTGGACCAGGTAGCGCACCTCATCGTGGATGCTGATGCAGAAGCGCCCATTTATGTCGAACTCCTCGAAGAGCCACTTCATGGCAACCAGCATGAGGTGCAGGTAGTCGACAGCTGAGCTCTGCACCACCCAGTTCACTCTGCTGGTCAGAAACTGGTGGAAGGAAACACAGACAGATGCCAGAGAAGCATCAGGGTCCAGGGCCTGGTACCAATACAGGAGAGCTCCTGGGAGAAGCCTGTTAAATTCAGGGTTATTGGGTCTTCTTCATGGCATGCATATTATAAAGAATAGGGGCAATGGGTTTCTTCATGGCTTCAAGGGCCTACTGCGCCTCCACCATCTAAGATGGGCTGAACTTAGGGTTGCCATTTTGGAGAAGACAAGCAAACTTAAGAGCTCAGCAAGCACAGAGCCCCATCCTTACCTCTCCCTTGGCCACAGCAGGCTCCAGGGCCCTGCTGATGTGACAGCCCAGCACCGGGGTCTGTGGGGATGGGGATAAGGCGATGCTCTCCAGCTTGTTGAACATTTCAGACTCAGTGCCTCCAACCCACACTCGGTGCCGCACCACATCCCACTTCTTCTTTCTCCGGGACCTGGTAGGACAGAGGGGAGGCTTGCTGGAAGCGAGAGAAGGGGCTGCGAGCCCTGTTTGAAAATCCCAAATGCTTTGGGGCAGGCAGATGAGCCTCTGCAGCCTCCTGCTGCTAACTGTTCACTGGGAGAGACAGGGAGCCCCCAGATCAGACTCAGCCCTGGGAGAGCAGGGAGGGAAGATCAGGACCATCCAACTCCCTCTCCGTTCTCTGCTCATGGGGCTCCAGCTCCCTCTGCATTGCACCCTGGTGCCACCAGAGCCACAGCGGGTTGGAGCATCTCACCTTTTTGTGGCTTCTCTCTGGAGCCGCTGGACATCCTGGGCTGACACTGATCCATCCTCTGCCCTGTCCACAGCCAGCTCCAGCTCCCTCACCAGCCACTCCCCATCCTCAGTGAGATGAAACCTGGAGGGGAGAGCGACCAACACCCAGGTCCTGTGGGACACGGCCACCATCCCCATCCCTGCTCATCCTCCACCTCCCCAGGCAGCACCCACCTCCGGACGCCCTTGGTGACAGCGTACATCTGCTGAGCCTTCTCACGCGCCTGCTGCTGTGTCAGCCGATGGTTGAACTGCATCAGCAGCCGCTCGGCGAAGGGCTGCCCGGCCCCGTAGATGCGCCCGTAGTTGAAGACTTTGGCGTGCTCCCGGCTGATGCCCACCGTGGCGGCCGTCTTGCTGTGTAGGTCTGTCGCGTTGCTCTTCTTCCCCTGTAGAGTCATCCAGCCGAAGGCTGTGCAGCCTGCCAGGAAGGGAGCAAGGGTTGGACATCAAACAGGACCAGGCTCAGGGGACCACCCCACTACCCAGCAAACCCATTCCCTGCACTGCAGCCCCGGCTCACCATGCATGCCGGCGAAGTGCGCCTCGCCGAGGACAGCAGCTATCCAGAGCTCCTGGGAATCCACATCCGCGCCCACCAGGGCATAGCCAGGCGGCACCTGGACCATGGCTTTCAGCTCGCTGCCCACCCGGTCGGCCTGTGGGACATGACACCCAGCTCAGCGCAAGCCCTGCACCTCCCACTCCTCCTCAGCAGCACGGGAGGAGCCTTCCTCCCGCAGCCGTGGTGTGCTGGCACAGCACTCCCCATGCCCTAAACTCTAACTCCGAAAGTCAAAACTGGGTTTAACACACGCATGGGGCATCGATCACTTGGTTGCTCTCCCCAGGTTCCTCCAGTGCGGAAGAAGGGGAGCTCGTGGAAGGACAGAAACCAATGCTTCACTGTTTTCTTCTCCTTCCACCAAGTTTTGAAGCTCAGGAGCTTCCCCTCTTCCAAAGTCAAAGCACATCAGCAAGAGAAGGGTCCCAGTACCAGCCCTTCCACCTCAAACCCCAGTATCCAGCCCCAACTCCCATTTCCAACCCAGGCTGCTCCCACCAGTCCAAAACACACAGAGGATGCCCCAAAACACACCCGCAAGGACCCAATTGCAGCCGTACCCGGGCATTGCTGGCCGTCAGCCACGTGGGCTCCACCGCCCGGCGGGTGATGGTACCCGCAGTCACCACCTGCGGCAGGATGGCCCCATAATCGTCCTCCTCGTTATAGTCAGGGTGCCTGGTACAGAAGTGAGGGTTAGCATCATCCTACAAGAGCCTTCCCGGAGCGGCATGGAAGGGATCATGGTCCCAGATGGGGCCATTCTTCCCTATACCTGGTCACCACGCGAGGCAGCTCCCCTTTCTTCAGCCACACCACCATCTGGGAACTGGGGGGGGGGACACAGAGCAGGTGAGATGCTGAGCCCCCCCCAAATCCACACAACCTTTCCCAGCTGCAACGCAGCCTCCACCAGCAGGGATGTCACGATTCAGCTGAAGGCAGCTGCTTACCTGATCCGCTTGTGAGCGTTCCTCCAAAAAGAGATCATTTTGTTAATCTCGAGGGCTCTGGTCCCGTGGGTGCGGCCCACAGCAGCCCGCAGGGTGCCGTCCTCCATCTGGGGCAGGAAATCCTTGGCAAAAGGGCTTCCCACGTTGTTATCATTTCCATCCTTTAGTAGCAAAAGAGGTGCCAGGGCTCAGTACATCGCCACTTGACATCAGTAAAGCTCTGTGCACCCTCCTGCCCCAGCTAGAGATGCCTTTCCACCACCCTATCCCATGAGACAAGATCACAAGGGTCCCAGGAGTCCTGCAGCACTGGAGTGACAGGCAAGGCGACACAGTTGTGCAGCAGGACCAGGGGAGCTGGGACACAGGGTGGCTGGGAAGCCCCCAGGAGCACCCAACTTGCCTTGTGAGGCAGCTTGAAGAACCAGCACCCAGGGATGTTGACGTCGTTGTAGGGACCATTGCCGTGGTGGTACGAAGGCTGGCTCCTCGCCTCCACCAGCTCAAACACCTCATCCATCTCCTCCTGCGACTAGCAATGCAAGGTGATGCTGGGAAACCCCCGGCATGGCAGAAGGCAGAAATCAAGGAAAGAGGGACCAATCCACCACTCCATTCTGCTGGAAACCCTTTTTACCTGTGCCAGGCTCTGGTCTGCTCTGCCCATTTTCTCCTCTGCATCCACCTCCATCTGGCTCAGCTCCTCCACCTGCAGCACAGAGGGACCACAGTGGAGCTGGGTCAAGCACCACTTCTCCAGTGATTTAATACTTATTAAAGGTAATTTCTTACTTCCAGCCCCCGGAGCCATTCATGGAACTGTTTTTTGCATGCACACGGGAACAAGCCCAGCCCCAACATCTCCCTTCCACCAAGGGCCCTCCATCCCTTCCTTCACCTTCTGCCACATTGTGCTACCGTCCATCACCAGCAGCTCATCCTCCATGGGAGCGTCCAGCCCCGGGGGCTGCTCCTTGCCTTTCTCCAGGCAATGCTGCCTGTACAGGTACTCGATCACCCTGGCAGGGGAGAAGGCAGGGCTCATGCACCCACAACGAGGACCGAAGCTCCAGGGCAGGACCTGGGCAGGGTCCTGGGAAGCTCCCAAACCCCCAGAAAGGGGCAGCCCCCAGCTCAGCACCCCACTACGTCCCCCTCACCTGTGCGGGCAGGGAGGGCCCTCTGCCTCCAAGGGGGTTGCCGTCAAATTGTCCTGCCGCCCCGGCACCAGGTAGCCCCAGCCATGCTTCTCCGAGTAATGGAGTGGGAAGCCGTCCCAGGCCAGGCGCATCAGCTTCGGGGTCACCCTCATCTGCAGGCTGATGAGGCTGGGTCCCGGCACCCACCCCTCCTCCTCCAGGCGCAGGCACAGCTTGCGGTACCAGCTGGGGAGTAGCAGGGATGGGTCAGAGAGAGCAGGGCAACCCCTGGGGACACCCAGGGTCCCCAACTCACCCCGGGTGGCCTGGCAGGTGCTGGAGTCTCTTGGGTTGCAGTGCGACTGTCTCCTTCAGACGCTCCAGACAAACCCGGCTCGCGGGGGCTTTCAGCTCCTCATCCTCACCAGGGGGGCCAGGGTCTGGTGGGGCAAGGAACTGGCTGGCAAAGAACCCTTCATGACACCCTGCTGGGGACGGGGACCTCGAGCCAAACCCCGCCACGTGCCTCAGCATGGCAACACAGGCCAGCGATGCTTCACCCTGCCAGTGCCAACAAGCCACATCTCTTCCTCTGAGTGCCCACAGGAAGGCATCCCTCAAGCATCCCTCATCCCCAGGGACCACCCACACTCACCTTCCTGCCACTCCTGTGTGGACCCGTCTGCGCCTGCCGCCACCACAGAGGCTTTGCTGTTCCCATTCTGACCCTTCTTCTTCTTTCCCCCTGGATTTTTCTTCTGCTTAAACTCCTGCGTGTCCCACTCAAGATCCCAGAGCCAGGGGTCATCCTTGTACCTGCCAAGACACTGGTGTCACACCGCAGCTTTGCTCCCATCCCCAGCATCACCCCCCAGGGATCACCCAGGATCTGGCCTCCACCCTGCAAGTGGCAGGACTCGCACCCCGACCCACAGGTACCTGTCCTCGTGCAGTAGCTGGCAGGCCTCGTTGGCCAGGTTCATCAACGATTTCTTCATCTCCTTCTGCAGCTCCTCGTAGATGCCCTGAGCATCATCCAGGTACCTCTTCCAGTTCCCATTGACAGGCAGGTAGGACACCCCCATCTCCAACATCCCTGCAAACGTCACGGGATGGGGGCACCTAGAGCCCAAAGCAGTGAGAAATTAGATGTCTGCTGCAGGGGACTTGCCCTGGAAACACCAGACTACAACAGACACAATCATGTCTTCACCTAGAGTTTCCCAGCTCCACACAGCCCTTGATACTCTTCCCCTACACCTGTAAGGATTTCTGTAACTTCTACCTGCCCTGCACACAAATTGCTGCCCTAAAAACAACCCCATGCACTAACTCCAAAGCTGTGTCTCTGATCTGCCTCACTGCCTACTCAAGTCCTCCTCCAGTCACACTGTGCTGCTATTTATTCCTTCTCGCCTGCAAAGTGGGAAGAGTCTGAGGTCCCACCTGAAATGGAGTTCAGGGCCCCACAATCTCCTGCTGCCACCCCAAGGACAACAGGAACCACATCCCATCCCATCCCCAGACGGACCACAATCCTCCCTGCTGCTGGCCAAGACCACAGCCAATGCCAGCCAGAGCTCAGCGGCTCTCACCTCTCCATGAAGAGCGGAAGCTGCTCCTGAAACACCTCATGGGTGGCCTGGACATCACGGGCACAGTATGACATCAGGTCCTGGGGGCAGAGGCAGGTGAGAACAGGCAAAGCAGCCACCCACCCCTCTGCCAGCACGGGGCAAGACACCGGGACTGCGGCAGGCTGTGGGACATCACAGCCCCACACACACCCAAAGCCCTCACAAGAAAGGACAGCAAAATGGAAACTACCCCAGCAGCTGCTCCCACCCCACTCCCATCTCCGGCTCCTGCTGGGATGGCCGCATGCACCTGGAAGTGACTCCTGATGTCGTCCATGCTCCCCTTCACAAAGAGCTCCCGCGCCTCCTTCTCCAGCGGCTCTCCGCCAACGTACAGCGCGTGCACATCTGCCAGGTTGTTGATGCTGCTGACGTGCACCCAGTCCCACGAAGTGATCTGTGAACGAGAGCGGAAGGTCACACGGTGCAGGACGAGATGAGAAGGGGGAAAGGATGCCACCGCTCCATTTTAAACCAAGGCCAGATCATCTGGAAGGCGCTCGGAGAGATTCACCCAACAGGTCCACTCCTCTACTGGGACCTACTCTGCTGGTACAGGAGCAGGAGGTACCAGTACAGGAGCAAACAGTCCTATTACAGGATCAAATGGTCCCCTGCCACCCATGCCACAGCTCCCTTACTCACAGCTGGCCCCTCCATTTTGCTGCGCGTTTTCTTCATGTGCTGCTTGACCTGCTGCAGTCCCTTCCTCTTGCCGTGCCTGGCAGCCATCCAGAGGCTGCGCTGGAAGCCCGTCAGCCCCGAGATGGCCATGTGCATGCTCATGGTGTCCAAGAAACGCACCCGGGAGCCCTGGGACACATCGGGGGAGAGAGGAGAGGCGGTTTGGGATGTGCTAGAGAAGAAACACACTGCCAAACATCCTGCAGCTGCCAGCAAGCACTGCTATGTGTTACAGAGCTGCAGGCCTTCTGCTCAGGCTGTTTTTGTCAAGGCAAAGCTTTGCCTCCTAGCACACCTCTTCTGAAAGCCAAGAGCATCCCCAGCACAGGCTGTTAGCTGCTCAAAGGCTCCTGGTATGTCCCCAGCTGCAACGCTGCAGCCTCCAGCAACCTTACAGGGTACAAGAATATATAATCATAGAATAGTTTGGGTTGGAAGAGACCTTTAAAGGCCATATAGTCCAGCCTCCCTGCAATAAGCAGGGACATCTTCAACAAGATCAGGTTGCTCAGAGTCCCGTCCAACCTGACCCTGAATGTTTCCAGGGATGGGTCATCTACTACCTTTCTGGGCAACTTGTGCCAGTGTTCCACCACCCTCATTGTAAAAGTTTTCTTTCTTATATCTAGTCTAAATCTTCACTCTTTCAGTTTAAAACCATGGCTCCTTGTCCTATCGCAACAGGCCCTGCTAAAAAATTTGTCCCCATCTTTCTTATAAGCTCCCTCTAAGTACAGAAAGGCCACAATAAGGTCTCCCCAGAGACTTCTCTTCTCCAGGCTGAACAACCCCAACTCTCTCAGCCTGTCCTCATAGGAGAGGTGTTGAAAGTGGTGGCTGAAGCCCCCCAGCAGGATGAGGGCCTGTGAGCACGATGCCTCCTGCCACTAAAGTAAGAAGGCTTCGTCAGTAGGCTCCCCTTGATCAGGTGGCCTGTAGTAGACACCAACCACACGGTTCGCTTTGTTGTCTCAGTTTCTTATTCTTACCCACAGGCTTTCAACCCGCTCATGGCTATTCTTCAGAGACAGCTTTTCAGAGTCTATCCATTCCTTGATGTAGAGTGCAACCCCTCTGCCCCTACTTCCTCACCCGTCCCTTCTGAACAGCCTGTAGCCATCAACAGGCACACTCCAGTCATGGGATTCATCCCGGTAAATTTCAGTAATAGCAACTCGGTCGCAGCCTTCTAGCAGAACAGTGGCTTCCAGCTCCTCCTCTTTGTTGCCCATGCTGCGTGCATTGGTGTAGAGTGACTTCAGCTGGGCTGCCGGCTGTGTCACCTTCTCAGAGGAAGATCCCTTAATTCCTTTGGGGAATATCTCCCTCTAAAGGGATCTAACCTCAACCCATCCCACAGGACAAGGGAAGCACAACCTTGGGGTATCTGTGCAGACCAGCATCTGCCAAAATAACCCTGAAAAGCCAGCACAAACGACTATCCAGGTAACGAATTGCAGCTGCTGACACAAAGCAACGGCACTGCAGATTACCTGGATGAGGTACTGCTCCTTGATGAACGCCCGGTCGAAGGCCACGTTGTGCCCCACCACCACTCTCTCTGGCCAGTCCTGCTTGCCAGCACAGCCAGCGCCTGCCGGGCTCTCCAGGGGAATGAGGTCGGCCAGGGTGAGGTGGCTGGACCAGGAATACCGCTGCTCCAGCAGCCGCTTGCTGCACCACGAATACCTGCAGATAACATGCAGCACCCCACAGCTGTAAAAAATTAAGTAGGAGCTCCCGAGGCCAGAAGCACCTGCTGTGACTCAGGGTGCTGAGCAGGATCTGAACTGCCGGAGGGACATGACTGACCCTGGGGTGCACTGCATTTGCTAACCAGGACACAGGTCCCACATCCCAGAGCTGCGCTTCAGGGCTTTGCCGTGTTTTCCCCACAAGTCAGTGGTGGTTTGCAGGAAGAGGCTCCACTCAGGAGCATCCCCATCCTTCCCGAAGCTGTCCCCCACCACCACCAGCACCCCAAGCATCACTGCCAGCACCACAACTCACCAGGCATGTGGTGAGACCGCGACGGCCAGCGTCGGGCAGTGGCCATCAGCCACGCACACCTCCACGTCCAACACCACCGCCCGCTCCTCGGGGAAGTCGACAACTTCTGCTTGCCCGTCGGGGCTGTAGCGGGTCCAGCCAAGCTGCCATGCCCACTGCGCAGGCATGGGGGGCAGCTCACACCGCAGCAGCTCGTTGGCCGCCTCCAGGTAAGGCAAACTCTGCTTCTGTGCCAGGAGGCGAAAATGCTCATCGATGTTGTCCCCATACATGCGAGGCAGCTGCAGGTCCACGTCGGGGAGCGTGGAGGTCTCCTTGCCCCACAGGTCGTGGCGTCGCAGATGCTCCACGCTTCTCTGAATCTCGGCCGCCGAGTAGTGTACCTGGGCCCCCCTGAAGATCTGCTCATGGAGGGTCTTGGACAGCATCTGGATGTTGAGGGGGTTCATGCGCCGCTGGCCCTTGGCGAGCTCCTGCCCCGGGTTCTCCGGCAGCGGGCGGCTAGCGGAGGAGCCGGAGGCGCAT